GTAACACTATAAAGTGAGGGAACAAGAAAGAGTCAGCTGAAAATTTATTTTTAACAGAAAGGGTTAAAACTAAGGTAGGCTTAGCAGGTTCACAAAGCAAATATTTACAAACATAGAAGCTAGCAACATGTTTCTTTCCTGCACTGCCTAAGATTGAGCTGAAGAAGACCTCAAGGGGTTACCTAATCTGTGCCAGTCATCTATGAAAGAGGTTTGCTTAATCTGCTACAGGTATCTCCCCACTTTCTGAAGCCATACTTGAGGCACTCCCTTCTGGCACTGAGCACGAAGACAATTCGGAGAACATCTCCCCAAGAAAGGTTTCTCTGACTTCACAAACACCTTGGTTTTCAGGAAAGCGCTGAATCTTTGAGATTGAGAGCATGTGTTTTCTGTTTGCCCACACCAATTCTCTTGACAAGTTTGACATGTGCCTGCAAGCTCAGCGAAGGTTTACTGCTGTGCTTTGTGGAGGCAAGCGCTGCCAGAAGGTCTTTGGAGATGAGGCACCCGGAGCCCCTCCGAGCAGCTACGAGGCTCTGCTGCTCTCTGCTGGGAAATGCGGGCAGAGCCCGAGCAGGAGGCTGTAATAAGGGAAGAGCTGGATTTGCCAGTATGCTCTGGCACGGTGTCTGCACACAAACACTCAGAGCCACCCGTACAAATGCAAACATCTGGGCGCAGTCTCCTCCTCAACGTCGCTGTCCAAAACGGACCCACATCAAAGGCTGCTGATGCAGGAGCAGTCCGGGTGTAAGCCAGCAGCCTCAGCCACCTCTCTTCCCCTTGCATCCCAGCCCTCTCTACCTCATGCGGGAGCTGGCTTTCTCCACTCTGTTGCACTTACACCTGCTTTCCTCCCAGGCTGTAATGTGGTTACTTTCTCAAAAACCCTCTGGACAGAGGGCAGAGCAACTACCCCACCACACAGGTAAGGAACCAATGTGCAGGGCAACCACATGACCCATGCAGAGTGACCAGTCAGCACATGGATGCACAGAGATGTCTCACCAAGGACCCCAGGCCTCTTCCTCACAGCCTGTTTGGGGTTTTTTTTTATCATTGCTCCATGCCACAAAGCTACTCTTTGCTTACCAGACCTCAGGAAGGCTTTAACTACATCTGTCTGCAACGGTGCAAAACCACAGGTCAGAGAGCCTCGGGATCACAGCGTGCTGGGAACCTCGAGGCCATGGCCACAGGTATTGACTGGGCTGCTGCAGCCTCGTGGATTGTGCAGCAGGTGAGCTCACTGCTCCAGCCAGCACCCTCAGCCTGGGCCCCGACAGCAGCTCCTGCACAACAGAGGGGAACAAATTCCCCAGCCTGGTGCTGACTGAGGCCCTCTGCTCCCTTAAGCAATGGCATTTAATTTTCTAATATGTTTCATCTCATGCATCTCGTTATGATTTTAAAGTAGCAGATGAAGCTACAGGACTTTTAGACAGGCATTTTCAGGATTTGGCTATCATATATGTATATTTATAGCTCAATAAAATAAGAAGAAATATTCAAAGTAAACAGACTGTGGAAAGTGATTTCTTCCAACTCTCCACTGCAGACTTGCAAGAAACCAATCAAAGAGGCTCAGGAGTGGTTTGAGCGTAATTTATTAACCCAAAAGGGGCCGCATTGTTAACCAACATTATTTATAGTGAATGTCTCAAACATCTCTACTGAACAATTGTGTGATACTGCAGGGACAAATACAATGAGTTACTACAGAGATAGGACAAAACCAGCAGCAGGTCTTTGTTACAGCTGTTAGAAGAAGCATCCTCAGGAGACAGACATTGAATCTCTAATGGCTATCTTATTTCTCTGACAATTTATTTAAGTTTTAACTTAACAGCAGGAATGATAGCCACAGTTACACAGTGACTCCCAATAAAGGAGCATATTGCTGATCTGCAGCTGGTGTTTTCTTATTTATTTCAAGGTCTTTAAGTTCCAGACTTAGCATATGGTGCCATATAAATAATGATATAATAATACGTTTTTGCTTTCCATGTGCCCGGGTAGAAAAAAGCCATGTGATTTATCTTACATGAGCATTGTATTTAAGGCATTATTTTGCTCAGAATTTTTAATGCATTTAAAATGCAGCTTCTGCTTTTTGTAATCTGTTCTTTTGAAAGAATAAACAGAGCAGTGATGTTTATTTAATAGAGTCATTCATCTTACTTCCTTGTGCAAAATCCTAGCTTTCCAGTCCCAGCAGCCAGATCCCTGCAGTAGGCAGTGGGGTTGGAAATGGAGAGATCTGCTGTTTACCAATGAGGCACAGATGAAAGGAACACACGGGGCTCTAGATTTACCCACAGCACAACACTATTTGAAGCCAGCAGGCAGCTGAGAACCGCTTAGTCCCATCCAGTAAAGGACAGAGAGGAGAAACCCATGGGAAAACTTCTGTAGGGAGTCATGCTGTGGAGAACACAGCACTCGGATGGCTCAGCACACAACATACACAAGTTTAATATCAAGGTGAGTCCTTCAGATAAAACTGTAACTGCAGTTACCAGAGCAAACACCACTGCCATAGAGTATGACAAGGATGTAACTGTTCAGAGCTTTCCTTTTAAACCCTTGATAAACAAGCTCTGTGAGCATTACAACTGCAGAAACACCCAGCTAGAGGGCAGGGAAGATCTCAACTCATACCTCAAGTCTTTCTGGATATTGCTGTCTTAAGTTTCTAGACTGGCTGTAAAACCTCATCAAGCAAAAGCTTCTTGACAGTTACAAGAGTCTTCAAAGCTATAAGTGTTGCAAATGTGGGTTTATAACTGCACAGGTCATTGCAGAACAATCAGAGTATTTTTAAGGGGCATTGAAGACTAACCAGTGAATATTCTACTTGTAAACACAAGCCTGATCTGTTGGTCCACAACTCCTAGAGGAAATATGGCAGGGTCCACTAATCAAAGACTGACAACCCCGAACACCAGACAGCATGCTGTACTCTCTCCCATCATATGAGGATTGGATAATCAGTGGAGATTGAAGGAGTTAAATACTGAAATCTCCCTGAAAGTCCACCCACCCAACTGCCTAAGACCCTTCAATGATTTTACCAATTTTACCCAGAATCTTTCAAGATCTTCCCAAGTGAACACAGACCAAAAAAACCTTCACACTCAAAGAGCCAGAAGTCCCATACTGTCCGGAACCATCACAGTCACATGGCAAAGTGGGAGAGGCCAGATAGGCTCAGGGGACTCAAGTAATGACCTGGCATCCCGTGAGTGCAAACAGCTGTGCTCCAGTGCAAGATGAACTGAGTGGTCAGCGTGGTTGAGGAGATGGACAGCACTGTCATAAACCTGTATTGGAGCAGTGGGGTAACTGTTCATCTTAAAAGCTCAACAGCATACCCTGAAAAACACACACAAACTGAGCTGTTCTGAATGGAAGTGACATCTGTATGTTTAGAACAGCTTTTGAAGTCCTATATTTCCCTCCCTCTCACCCCACATAAGCCCCCATGGCAGTTTCAGCCATTCGTTTCAATCTCAGCTCTTGCAAGAACCAGAATATGTCAAAAACTGGTTACTGTAGTAACCTAGCACAGCTTTTATCTCTATTCCTTTCATGTCTTCTTTGGGGGAAACTGGCAATCTGTTTATTTGCTTTTTCTGACAAAGTTCATCACGCAGCACACCAACTGTCTGTGTCCGTGTAAAACTGAGAAGAAAGTACCTCTCACATGAATGCACATGTAAATATTTCTCTTGGCACTCTACTACCCCACCTCTTCCTTCCCTGCTTCCCTTTATGAGCTATTTGACATGTCTTTTTCCATCTGCCCCTCCATGCACAGCTTTTCTCTGCCCTTCTCCTCCAGGCTTCCTCACTACCATGGCAATTATTAACAGGGCCAACAGCAGCAAATGGCTTCCCTGGGCTTTCCTGAATCCCTCATATGAGCGTGGGAATGTCAAAAGGACACTGGAACTCACAGTGAAGTATCTCGGCTCCTTGCAAAACAGAAGGCCAGTGGCAGGCTGGGCTATGGGCAACCTCCCTGCCCTTCTCTGTGCCAAAGGAGGCCCCACAGACGGTTCTCTGGCTCTGGCACACACCGAGAAACCTCTCTGGCTGCTTCGAGGGGAACAATAACACAGGCAAGGAGGCGGCTGCCAGGATCAGAAGCAGAACCAAGACCAGGACCAGAGTTAGTGCCAGGACCAGGGCCAGGGCTAGGCACTGCCAACAACAGCATCCTGGCCTGGATCAGCAACAGTGTGGCCAGCAGGACTAGGGCATTGATTGTCCCCCTGTCTTGGGCACTGGTGAGGCCACACCTCGAGTCCTGTGTCCAGTTCTGGGCCCCTCGCTACAGGAAGGACATTTTGGTGCTGGAGCAAATCCAGAGAGGGGCAACAAAGCTGAAAGAGTCTGGCACACAAGTCCTACGAGGAGTGTCTGAGGGAACTGGGGTTGTTTAGCCTGGAGAAAAGGATGCTCAGGGGGTAACCTCATTGCTCTCTACAACTGCCTGAAAGGAGGTTGTACCCATGTGGGCATCAGTCTCTTCTTCCAGGCAGCTAGTGACAGGATGAGAGGATGCCAGCTGCACCAGGGGAGGTTCAGTTTGGATATTAGACCGAAGTTCTTCACATAAAGGGTGATTAGACATTGCAATGGGCTTATCCAGGGAGGTGATGGGGTCACCATCCCTGGTGCTGCTTAAGGAAAGACCAGACGGGCACTTAGTGCCATGGTGTAGTTGACATGGTGGTGTTCCGTCACAGGTTGGACTCGATGCTCTCAGAGGTCTCTTCCAACCTGACTGATTCTGGGATTCTGGAATTTCCTCACCCGCCACCCGCCCTCCCCTCTCCCCCCGGCGCTTCCGCCCTGACCCAACATGGCCGCGCGGCACCCGCCGCCCACGTGACCCAGCGGCACCGCCCACCCACACACGTGACGGCGGTTTCCCCGGCAACCGCCCCGGCGTCTCGCACCGCCCCCCCCCTCCCCCGGCCAGTGACGAGCAGCAAAAGGGCGGGCGGGGGCGAAGCGCTCCCTGCCTTGTCCTGCGGACCCGGGGGCTGGTGAGGGAGAGCCCCGGCCCCGGGAATCGCCTTCTCCCAGGCAGCTGTCAGTAAGGCAAAAGGGCATGGTCTTAAGCTCTGCCAGGGGAGTATTGGGTTGGATATTAGGAAGAAATTCTTTGCAGAGAGGGTAATCAGGCATTGGAGTGGGCTGCCCAGGGAAGTGGTGGATTCTCCGTCCCTGGAGGTTTTTAAGATGAGGCTGGATGTGGCACTTAGTGCCATGGTCTCGTAACCACGGCGGTAGTGGATCAAGGGTTGGACTTGATGATCTCAGAGGTCCTTTCCAACCCGGCTGATTCTGTGATTCTGTGATTCCCGGGCTACACCGACCCGCGCTGCCCCCGAGCAGCTTCCTCGCCGAGCGCCCGGTATCTTTTGTCCCCAGGCTCAACGCCCCCTTCCCAATTACAGGGATGGCTTCAGGCAACGCTGCTGTCACCGGGACCCCCAAAACCTTGGAGCAGCCGTGGCTGCTGCCTCCTGTCCCGGGCGGGTTTGGAACGGGAGGGAGAAACCGGGCAGGACTCTGCCTGCGCTCAGTCACAGATCTGGGAATGGGAGAGCAGGGCGTGGATACAGCACAGCCCACAGCCAGCTGCTCAAGGAGGGAATGGGTGAAGCCTACACAAATTTCGGTGGCTTGCTGCCAGGGAGCAAGACTGGGACTGTGTCAGGCAGGGAGAGGAGCCAGGAGCTGAGGGCAACCCCAGCACAGGCAGGTTGCTGGTAAGAGGGATCACCGACGGCCCCAGGCAAGGAAAGGTCATGAATCGGGTCTGGGATCCATCCAAGAGACTTCCATGGAAACAGAACTACCTACAATACATACTTACAGAGTCCCCCTAGGACAACTAGTTAGTAAGTGAGGATCAGGCACAGACCAGTTCTGAACCTGAGCTTAAATGGAGTTCCTGGGATCATGCAGAAGGTGCAGGTGGGGCCAGTCACAGAAATTAAAGCCTATTAGTGCATGTTTTAAGAGGGGTTGCAGTATATTTGCAGAAGGTTACAGTAATGTGATGTATCTGATCTGTGGAGATGCATGTTTAAAATATTCTTTGTTCTTTATTTGTTAAATGTTTTAGCAAGAGCACAACAATCATTCAGAATCCAAACTGGAAGAATCTAGCATACTGTCACCTGCCGAATCATCTGAGGACCAGACAGCTGTAGTTGAATCCCCACCATCACTGGATGACTTACCTGGGTTTAAAACACCAGCTGTCTGTAGTGGAATTGCCAGTGTCTGCAGACGAGCTGATTATTGAGAAACTACCAGGTTCTGAGGATCAATTACCGCTCATTGAATAGTCCACATCCAGGGAAAGCTCACCTGAGATCAGATCATCTGTGGGTGAACTGTCAAGTTTTGAAGTCAAGATGTACATGTCTGACTCCACACAGGATGGTAACACATCTGAGGCTGTGTCATCGGCAGCAGAGACTGCGTATGAAACACCAGAACCAACGATATTTGAAAATGCCTATCAAATGTCCATCGATTACGTGGAGAAACATAACATTATGCAGATATTTCAGGTGAAATATATATTTCCTTCTCCTTCCAGAAGCTTAGATGAGAAACTTGGCCTAAAGTTAGCTTGAGCCAAATTATCCCTTCCCCAGATCCCTCCTTGTCCTTGTGCTTTCCTAAGTGTAAACTTAGGAAAAGCAGTAGAAAAGGACCCTTGATCATCTTTGAGGTTTGAAAGAGATGCTTGCTTTTTAAAATGCAGATAGTGTTAGAGCAGAAAGTGCAGCCACCCACCTACCCAAGGATCAATAATTCTTTCCTTCTGTCTGTCTCTGTCTCAGGAGATCACAGAAAAATTGGTGTACTCTAAACCTGATGACCCCTTGCAGTTCATACTGATGGAGGTATGGTCTTGCTGAGGCTCAGTGGGGACTGCCTGTTAGGGCCACAACAGAAAGCCAGCTTTACTGAGCACACCAAAGTCAGGGTCAAGCCAGGACTGTTTCTCTCACTGTGTGTCTTCTTGGGAGGAGGAAAAGCACAGGGCAGGAGCAGAGTGCTTGGGATGCAAGGGGCTGCGTGTGCTCCAAAAGGAGAGGGAGAGAAGGTACGAGAGTGTGGGTGAAGAGTTCAGTTTGGGGGAAGGATGGGGTAAATGTGCCCTGGAGTTACCTGAGAAATGAGGGAAGCTTAAGGACAGATATAGGGCCCCTCTGTGACCCTTCCCCAGCTACCTCTATCCTAGACTGGGAGGGAACACTTTTTTGCCCACACACCTCTATTCAGGAGAGCTATCTCTGCTGATCTTGCAGGGTATTAAAACACAGCTAATTCAAAGTCAGTCAAATTAGACAATAGTTTAGGAGTGAGTAGAAGTATGGGTTGCATCTTGGGAAAAGGAGGAGGTTAGAGAAAAGAAAGTAGACAAAGAGAGTGAGTCTTTTCCTTCATTGCCCTCTAGTCAGTCAGGAAAAGCACCATCTTTGTGGTTCGCTGCTGGGTTCATGGTGTACTGAACACAAAACCTGCAGAGGAATGGCAAGGCAGTTCTGGGCACCAGTGTGTGAGGAAATAAGCTCCCAAATGACCCTTTTCCTTTTCCTTTGTCCAGGTGCAGTCTATGATAGAAGCCAGGCAGGCAGAAATGGAGAGAATATCAGAGGAGAACAAAGATGTGTAGGTGTTTCTAGAAGAGGCCTGCACACTCCTTTTGGGCCCTACTGACCTTGCTATTGTGATATTGCATCATGCTTTTGTAGTCATTGGCAATAACTTGGAAAAGGTCTGCGTGTATCTGTCTTTCATGTTTTCCCTGTTCTGTATGCTTCTGCTTCCCCTTGAATTTAAATCCTGCAACCAAGTATTGGTATGGAATCACAAACTCAGATCTAAGTGTGCATGGACACATTGAAGAGGCAGGTCTGCTGAACTCCTATGTGGTCTGTGCATACAAATGCATAAGTCCCATATTTAGGCCACTCCTAGACTCTGCTTTTCCATGCAGAGAAATCCCACAGCTCAGACAACACAAGCACAAAAGCAAGTAGAATTTAAGAGCAGCCCTGGAAAACCCACAACCCTTTCTTTTTTTCCTGCTGCATTGGTGGCACACAGCTGTGCAGCTATGCAGCAGCACCAGTGCCCATCTAATACTTTGATGGGCTGGGTCTGGGCTTTCCCGCTGGCCCCAGAGCTCCTCTGATGCAAGAAGCTGTCTTCTGCCTCTTCCACACACTGGGTGCAGCTGTCACACCCTTAATCATCCTTGTTGGGTACCAATCACTCTGCTTCTTGGGGTTGCCTTACTTGTATCGTTGCAAGTACAGTGTATATCTTGATAACAAAAACAGTAAAGCAACAGTTGCACACACCCTTAATAGCTTCAGAAAACATTGTCCCTCAGGAATGTGGGAGGTGAATAAAACTAAACAAACCAAACCCAAGCACTGGTAGCTCAGGAAATTCATCAGAGTCAAGGTACATTTCACAAACACGTCATTTGAGCTGCTTTTGATTCTTAAAACACAATTCTCATTTTCATACTATCCAAGTGTCTGTTTCCACCCTGATAAGAAACTTTGTCTTTCTTTTTTTTGTATCTTGCCTGAAGATTATTGAAAATGTGCAACAGAGCATACTATTGTTTTGGCTTCATGTATTGTGTATGTGCAGTAGATGCCAGATAGTGTTTTTTTTGCCACTAGGCTTTTCTCTTTTTTAGGCAAGTGCTCTAATTTCCTGATGGATGGCAATGTATTCCCAAATGACTGTCTCTATGACTATGAAGAGAACGCCATAGAAACTTCATCTATCTATTTTTAGCTAAAAGTCTGATGATTGGGTTGTGTGATTCTCTGCAGCACAGCTTGGGCCCAAAAAGTCTGGGAATAACAGAAGCAAGTATTTGACATATGAATTCCATGTCTGAGAACAGTTTCTTTTTTATCGAAGGTTCTCAAAAAAAAAAAAAATCAGTAACTCATGTGTTTCCAGGTTAAAGGTAGGTAAGCACCCATCATTCTTAGAGCAGGGAGGTTTTTAAGGTTATTTTGAGCCTAGGGGTGGCTCAAGATTCAGATTCAATCTTTGTTGGTTTTGTAAGAACAAGCATTGAGGCCATGTTGCTGAGAACACAGCTGCACTAGGCAGGGCATGTCTCAAGGATGAAGGACCACCGCCTCCCTAAGATCTTGCTTTATGGTGAACTTGCCACCAGCTGCCGCAAGAGAGGAGCCCCGAAGAAAAGATACAAGGACTCCCTGAAACAACATCTCAGCCTCGGCCATATTGATCACCATAACTGGTCTACTCTGGCCTCCAATCGGAAGGCCTGGAGACACACTGTCTATAACTCTGCTGTTTCCTTTGAGAACGCACGCAGGATCACTCTCGAGGAGAAAAGACAACGCAGAAAGAATCGTATCTTGCAGAATAGACCACCTAAGGAGTCTCTCTGCTGTGCTTTTGCAATCGGATATGTCTATCTCATATGTCTATCTCATTAGCCACCAGCGTGCTTGTAACAAACGTGGGTAGAGCCTTCCTAAATCTTCGTTCGCGAAGCCCAGCCATGAGGTATAGACTTAGGCATCTAGGTCCCACTGAAGTGGTGAGATGCTTTTGAAATCCCTACTTATCCTTGGCAACTGGAAGAATCAGACACTGAGATTGTTTTTCAGCCTGATATATTTTTGATCAAGAGTTTGTAAGCAGCCCTGTGTATATATGCCCTGTCCTAACGTATCTCTGTGAAACAGAAAACATGTGGAAGATGAAGACAGTGGCTGAAGCCTTCTCATCTCTATGGTCATTTGTCATCATGTTGTCCCAGAAGATGGAGAAGTTGGCATGTCTTTAAATTATGTTGTAGAACAGGATTAGGGTACAGGATTGGGTACAACCTTAACTGTGTGTTTCCTGCTTTTGTCATTTGTGTATTGCATTTTGTTGTTCTGTTTTACTAATTAAAAGCTTTTGACTTGTAATATGTTCTCAGACTATAAGTGTATGCCTTCAACTTCATGTCATGATTAAGGGAGTTATGCAAGGAAAGATCCTTAATCCCTCTTTCATGTAGGTTGAAATGAACTGGAAAGCAGTCTTCTTACAAGTGACAGAAATTTTGAAAGAGAGGCCCTACCCAGTTTTCCTCAGCAAACTCAGGGCCAAAATTTTCCTTTGGTAGCCTGGCTACCTTATCTCATGCCAGCAAAGTTTCTGTGTGGTAGCAAGAAGTCTTCCCATTGCACATAAGATAGAGCATCTGTCTTTTCTGCTTCTCAGAAAAGTGAAACAGAAACAGTGTTTTCTGTTCATTTCTCTCCTCAGAGGAGAGGTCACTCTCCTTTGGGGAGCAGCAGTTGTATAGAGATGAATGAGGCTGTACTCAGGACAGCTCTTTGGGCCTAGATTTGTCATGTGTAAATGGCAAGAGACTGAGGAAGACAGTAGGCTGAGGACAATCCTTCAGCTTTCACTGACTTAGAGGGAGTTGATCAGCTCTGAGCAAGGGCTTTGACCAGAAATCTTGGGGAACATACCATGAGCTGAGGAGAAATGTCACTTCCTTCACCTTGAGCCTCTCAGATGATTGAATTGTATTTTGAATTGCAGTTTTTCAAGCAAAAAGAAGCTCAGGAACTTAATTTTATGAAAACAAAAAAGCATTCTCCAGCATGTTGGCAGATTATTGTGTTTAAGCTAGTGTCACCCGGCTGTGCTTTTTTATTTGCTTCACAGTTCTTCTGAAAAATACTTTAGTCCTAGAAAAATTCTACTTTATAGTAAAGCACTGCTGTTTGTGTATAAGAAGGCTTTCCTGTGGCAAGGAGGCAAGTTAGATTTCAAATGGAAACTTTTACTGTAGTCTTAATTCCAGAGTGACTGCCCCTTTTCCATAATTTATTTCTCAAACCATTGGATCCTTATTTCTTCTTCATAAGTGGACATTTATCAACATGACACTAAACTGTCATTAAATTTCTTGCCTTGAGTGCTCTGAAGGAATTAGCAGTTCATTGTGTGTAACTGAAACTATTCCATATAAGTCCTTATAGCACACTAGTCACAGTATATTTGAATGCTCTCCAGAGTGTGCTAAGCAACGTGACTAACATCTGTTGTTTGCTCTTTTTCCTCTCCACAAGGGAGATGTCTATGCACTGAAGTACATTCTTTTGAAAAGGGTGGTTTGTGGGTTTTTTTACCCACACCTGTGTGGTTCTAATGGATAAGGATAGGTCATAGAGTGAAAAGCGTTGAAGTTGGAGGTAATTTGTAGTTCCCAAGGATGATTACTCCTCAATATGAGCTGGACACCAAGAAAGTAAATTATTTTGAAGGAACAGATTTTTTTTTTTGCCGATCCATGGACAGGCACAGAAGCGTGACATCCAATTCATCTGCCAAATGGCATGACCTTATGGCCCATAGAATGTTTCTGTTGTGAACCTTGTACTCCAGAAGCAGGATGCAGAGGAGCAATCAGGAGGAAAGTGTAATCACTGTGGAATAGGTCTCTTGGATGAAAACATCAGTTTCTTTTTCTGCTATCTCTGTGTGGAAGTTAAAATTACTCAGATGCACCAAGCAATACTAAAGTTGCCTATGTATTGCTTCTAACCAATGCAAAAAACCCCCAATGTTGCAACAGCTGATTAAAGATCCTTTTGAAAAGTTCACAGACTCTGCTCTGCTTCTTAGTTAGGTGGAGAGCACATTTTTCAATGGCCAGCTGCTTATAGCATGAGGCATTTCATTGTGACTCATTGGATATGAATCATTGCTACATAACACTAACTTCAAGCTAGTTTAATGCCACTGATTTCAAAGTTTCACAATCATGTAAAACTTTTAGGCAGCAACAACTATTGAGGGCTTTCATGTCTGAAATGGAAGAAATTAACCTCTGGGTAAAGTCCGACAAAGAGCTCAAGAGAAAGCTCCAGCTGAAGACTGGAGAATGTGGAAGAGCTTGGAAAGGAATACACCAGGGCAAATTGGTCAAACCCTATCTGACATGCCTTTGAGTTGTATTCAAGGGAAATCTGCTCTTGACCATTCTTTCAGCCAGAGGAAATGGAGAAGAAAATGAAGGTGAATGAAGAAGAAAATGACATTACCTGAAGGTCAGACATTAATATCCGTGGCTGCATTCCTTTTTTTGGGACTGTCCTCATGGACAGAACTGATGTAGTAGCAGCACCACCAAAAGTTCATGGCCACAGCTCAACATACAGAAATGAAAAGGAGAACTTTGAGTTGTTGGGGTGACATGGATTGGATGAACACTCATCTTCTCCTGGGGAAAGGTGGCGGGTTGGAGTGTCACTGCAGAACAGATGAATTTAGGCAAAGCAGATGCAAGAGATTTCTATATACATAATTCAACACTGGAAACTAACTGCAGACACTGCAGTAGTTGGTCTGTTTTAGAAACAGTTGGTATGAATTAGGAGAATGGCTCTTCCTTTCCCCCTTAAGGCTATCATCTCAATTCCCCATGCAACTCCTCTCACAAGTGGGAAGAGCTCACCCTCCTTTGTGAGACCTTGCTGCTTTCAGGCACTAGGAAGGACATCTCATTGGCTTATTCATCCAGGAGTCTGGGGTAAACTTTCTATCTTCCAGTGCAGAAAATAGGAGAAACCGCTGGTGTACTTTCATAAACTGCAGTGAAATAATACCATGGAAGAAATGAATTATGAGATGGACTCATTTGCTTTTTTACATTGTTACTTTGAGACCAAAAATAAGCATCTTTTTTGTTGTCACTCATTAAAGCGGCAAGAGATGGAGGAACTTGGAACTACATAGAGCTGGACTTACAAAGGTGCATGGCTATTGAAAAAGGAAGGCACTGTAGCTAAGGGAGTGCAGCTCTCCATTTACATTGGCCATAAAAAGTTCACTATAAACTTGCAAGCCTTTGAGGCAAATGCCTTATTTGGAATCACCTGGTCCAACCTTAAAAATCCTTATTATTAACTAGGAGGAAGGATCTATATTAGGGTTAGGGAGTTTGTAGGAAAAAGAGATGACCTCTGTCCTTCCTCCTTCCTGTCCCCCAGCTTTCCTTCTAGCATAAAACAGGAAACAGAGGTGTATACAGGCATGTGTAAGAGCACAATAGTTTGTTAATGAGAAAAATGCATGTCATACCAGCCCTTGAAGAAAAACAGTTTCCACCCTGAGGAGCTTTTGGTGTTTGGACAGATGAGTCGACGTTAGGGAGAAGGCTATATTACATTCAGACAAATGGTCAGAGACCCAAGATTTTTAACAGTGGCTCAAAGTTACATAAACACCATGAACAAACATCACAACCCCTTTGAGGAGCAGAACGATGCTGGCCCTATCCCGCTATTGTTTAAGTATCCCCTTGGGTCTAGCATAATATCCTGCCTCCCTGCAAGGAGATTCAGGGGAGGGCAACATTGCCAGTTTGCTGAAACCCCACAGTATTGAAAGCAAGTATTGCCCACCATATAACCCAGCTTTTGGCCCTGTGGTTTGAATCCTTGGTAAGATAAGAGAGATATCTTGAGAGACTCCTTGACTGTAGTATGGTGCCATGATGCCGATACGTGTTTGGTATGGCAGATAGGAGTGCATATAGTAGAAACTCAGCCTATTGTTGGGAGCAACAGCTCCCTACATTTTGCATTGTTAGGCGTCTAAATGTTTCCAAATGAAGAGAAAAGCACTTTAAAAATGTAAGAGCTAAGCAGGGTCCAGCATAACTCTAACAGAATCACGTTTTGTAGCTACATTTCATACACCTCTTAGAAGTTGTTCTAAGCCTTAGTGGCTTTTCAGAAGTCACGTGTGAAAAAACGGCTCTTGAATAGCAGGTTAAAAAGCATCTTGAAACAGAGTGAAACGTAACCTTTCCTATGTGTGCCCATGAGAGGGCAG